AGATTCTTATCTGCTGCAGCATACCAACAGCGAGGCATATGATCGGTCCCAAATTCATTCTGCAGCAGCGATTCAAACATACTGTTGGAGTTCTAAAGAGTTATCTCATCAACAAGAACAAGGTGTCCTGCAGCTTTTTGCAAAACACCATGTGCAAGTGCACTTAAGAGATCTAAAAAAGGGGATGAAGTGGAGATTTGTGTAGCCAAAAAAAACCTTTGGGGCTAAACACTGAAAGAGCAACTAGATTCATCAATAAAAAAGCACACATCTCTACACAGGTACCCCATTGGCTGATATGATTATGAATCAATGTGATTTGTTTTGTTCTTCCTCTTTCGTACATTTCTTTGAAAGGTTAAGATTAAGATTATCAATGGAAAATTTAGGTGGGGGTATTACTCTTTCACTCTGTACTGGATTTTGATAGTCACCATGCTGTAAAGTGTGACAGTAAACTTATCAAATGCGCACGAGTTAAGCGTGACAAATGCTATCAGGCACAATTTAAAGTGCACATGAAAGAAGTGTGAAACAAGCTGATCTAAATCTACAACAAAAACACTTTTTATGGTATTTAACATAACACTTGGGCCACGAGAACTTTCAAGTCACTGCTTTGATCGATCAAACTATCCAACTTTTTCTCCCATGTGACACAAACGCTGTGTCAGGCCCAACACAGATATGCCTTTTAGGTGTTTTGTTACTATATCCATAGCCCTTCTAGGATGGTAGTGTATAGCATTTGCCTACACCGTGACTAAACATGATTAAAAAGATGACAACATCATTTTCCAATCTGTGATTTGCTCCAGGCTTAGAGTGGCTGAACACGGAGGGGCCTCTCTCTTTAAACAAGGAGCTGGCTGGTAAAGTGGTGCTGCTGGATTTCTTCACTTACTGCTGCATCAACTGCATCCACATCCTTCCTGACCTGCATCAACTAGAGAAGAGACACTCTGTAAAAGGTTTGTGCATACTCTACTAACTACGAGGTAGTTTCCATACAGCTAATTTAATCAGCCCAGGAAAATCCTAAAGTAGAAAAACTGTGTATTGTTTAAAAAAAAAAAAA